CTCTGACCTGCGACCATCCATTCCCTCACCTGCTTTTAACACTCCCATCCTCCTTTGGTTCAGGTGATGCTATTTCTCCCCCAACCCCAGGAGGTGGGCACATCACTGAGGCCTGAGTCCATCCTCTTGGCCATAGTAACCAGTTCAGGGATGGGCCTATGATTCAAGTCAAGCCAATAAGGCCGGTTCTAGGACAGGCCCTCTTGCTGTACTGGGTTTGCTAAGCTGGTTGGATTGGATGTAAGCTAGAAACTGCTGGGGCCTTCACAGGAAGACGGGCTCCATGAGAATGAAGTTGACCCAGAGGAAAGCAGAGCCAAGAAATGGCAAATGGGTGGAAAGACAGAGATAGGGGATCCTAGATCCAGTCAGGCCTAAGGTAATTTTACTCCTGGATTTTTCAGGACCTAGGTCAATGAAGTCCTTTTTTTGCTCAACAGTCTGCGTTGAGTTTCTATCACTTGCGACCAAGAATCCTGAAGGAGGTTGCATTGAAGCTGACTAGGCAAATAGCACAAAATGAGGGAAGAATGTTTCTGCATTCAGAGGCCAAGGTGCAGTGGGAAGTAGAGGTGTCTGAGAAGAGAGTTATCGAGGACGGGATTCCTGTGAGTAGAGCTGAAGGCACGAGAAGTGGGATTCATGACCAAGCAGGCCTTGCCTCTGCCCGACTACAGTCCCAGGACATAATTTAAGCTCAGAGGTGTGGGGAATGGATTGGGCATGCTGCATTCAAGCTGGAGGGTGGGCCATACCACATGAAATGAACATGGAAGCCATAAAGCCTGAAATATTGGTTGCAATGGATTCAACCAAGATTTGGGGCAGGGAGGCAATGATGTGAATAGTGGCCCTTGTGACTGACTACATGCTTGCTAAAGAGAGATGGGGAGGGCCCAGAAAAGGGGCAACTAGTCTGGTAGCTATTACTACATGCCAGGTGTGAAGTAACAGAACGAGACCTACAGGGTGAAATGGGATGGGAGAGAAAAAACAGTCAGAGTTCAGGCTCTGAAATCAGCTGATCTGGGTTCTAGCCCTATTTACTAGTTATATCACCGTGAACACCGACTTACAGTTTGAACCTCAATTTTTCCCATGTGTAGAACAGATACAAGACCTAACAGGGTTGCTGTGAGGATTAGAAATAATGGATATCAGTGGCACGGGGCGCGGAACATGGCAGGTCCAGGGGAGTGGGCTGGACTGGCAGAGCCCCTTGTCTTCCTGCCCAGTGAGCCCTTTGGTTTAGTTTAGGTAAACAAGTGCTTACTGGGCTGTTCTGGGCCAGAGGTGAGCTCCGGGAGCTCACACTGATGGGGAGAGGTTGGCAGGGAGGACAACCAGGTAAATGAATCTGAACACATGGAAAGAGAAAAGAAGAGAGTACAATTGGGGAGGGAGGGATCTGGAGCTGTGACTGTGACCAGCAAAACCCAGGGCAGCCCAAGCAAAGCACTTCTAGAAGCTGCATTCTCCCATCCAGCCCATGGTCTTCTCCCTTATCAGGATGCTCTCAGCATCCATCTTTATGCTCTGGCTTGCAGCATCCAACATGATGCAAACAGAACATGGAAGCTGCTACACCTGTGGCGAGAGGTGCAGCAGGAAACAGAAGCTCTCTGCAACCTGATGCCAGTAAAAGAAGAACACAAGTTGGGGCAGAGGGAGCCAAGAACCTGCCCAGGCCCAATGCCCATGCCAACCTTTAATGTAAGAAAAAGGGTCCACTCAGAGCAGCAGCAGGGAAAGGCTCTGTGCCTTGCTGCTGTGACACTGACACAGGGAGGATGCACAGAGGTACTGAGGGACTTGTCCAGGAGTGACTGCCTGGCTCAGAGGACGCAAAGCTCCTCACCTTGTCACTTTAGTCCTTTATTCTAAGTGTGTCGAAAGCTCCTTGCTGCTACAGAGTAAACTCCAAACTGACTTTCCAACCTCCTTCCCCTCTCGGTCTTCACACCGGACCCTCCACTCCACAACCTCCCCCCCGCCCCATCATTTCCTCTACTTTCCAGTCTCTAGTGCCAGCTCCACCTCCCAGAAGCCCTCCCTCCTCTGAAATCGCTGGGGCCTGATGATAGTTACCTGTGCAGTGCCCACCTCTCCTTACGATTCTTTATATCCCTCCTGGTACCCGAACGTGCTCTGCATATAGTAGGTACTCCATAAAGAGCAGAGTAATGTTTTGTTCCCTCCTTTGCTTACTTCGTTCTCTTCCTGGGAAGCCCCAACCATCACATTTTTTGTGGAGTTCAAATCCTCCTCAGACTCCACCTCCTCTTTGCAGTCTGGGCTCCCTCAGCGCCGCACACGACTCTGCGCCTCGCGCGCTACTGTGCACTCACACGGCCCTGTCCCCTCAGCCCGGGGCTCTGGCGCCCGCCCTGGGACCGCTCACCTGCTTCTGGATGTCCCGCACGCGCTGCTCGTGCAGGCGCGGCGCGCTGCTGAGCTTGAACACCACCCAGGCGCGCATGTAGTAGTAGATGTCGAAGATGAGCGAGAGCGGCAGAAGGAAAAGACACACGAACACCCAGCGCTGGTGGATGAGCACGAACTCCAGCCCCTTCACACGGATCCAGAGCAGGAAGAGCAGCGCGCACACGGCCAGCGACACGGCGGGCTCCATGGTGGGGCCGGTGGCGCGCCACGCGGGGGACGGGATGCCTGCTCGCGTCTCTCGTCACCACCACGCGCTCCGTGTCCGCCTGCGCTCAACCAGGGCCAGTCGCCGGCTGT